AAAAAAAACACTAAGGACCTCAGGATTTTTTCAGATTTCTTCAAAAATGACATCAAAGACCCTAACATTCTTTACAATTCTTTCAAAAACAAAACATTCGCACCCTAAAAATTGTTTTAAATTCTAAAAAAAAAAAACACTAGGGACCTCAAGATTCTTTAAAATTTCTTCAAAAATTCAAAAATTAAACATCAAGGGCACTCAAGATTCTTTTATATTGTTTCGAAAAGCAAACATCGCTGGCTTAGAATTGTTTCAGATTCTCAAAAAAACACGGGGACTCTAAAAGTATTTTAAAGTCTATTTTAGATTAAAAAAAAAGGCACTGGGGAGCCCAAAATTCTTTTAAATTCTTAAAAAAAAACATTATAATCCTCAAGATTCTTTCAACTTTCTTCAAAAATGAAACATAAGAGGCACCCAAGGTTCTTTTAATTTCTTTAAAAAACGAAACACCCGCGACCTCAAGATTTTTTTTATTCTTAAAAAAAATACTGGGTACTCCAGGATTATTGCAAATTCTAAAAAAAAATACTAAGGACTTCAGGATTTTTTCAGATTTCTTAAAAAATGAAACATCAAGAGCCCATAAGATTCTTTACAATTTTTTCAAAAACAAAACCCTCGTAGCTTAAAAATTCTTTTAAGTTCTAAAAAAAAACACTAGGGACCTCCCGCGACCTCAAATTCTCTTAGATTAAAAAAAAACCTGAGGACTCGAAAATTCTTTTAAATTCCAAAAAAGGACATCGGGGTCCTCAAGAATTTTTCAACTTTCTTCAAAAATTAAACATCAAAGGCCCTCAAGATTCTTTTAAATTATTTCAAAATAAAACTTTCACAGCCTAAAAATTCTTTTAAATTCTTAAAAAAAAAAACACTAGTGACCTCAAGATTCTTTCCAATTTCTTCAAAAATTCAAAAATTAAACATCAAAGGCCCTCAAGATTCTTTTATATTTTTTCAAAAAGAAAACATCGCCGGCTGAGGATTCTTTCAGAATCTCAAAAAAAACACGGGAACTCTAAGATTATTTTAAAGTCTATTCTAGATTTAAAAAAAGACACTGGGCAGAACAAAATTCTTTTAAATTTAAAAAAACACATTATAGTTCTCAAGATTTTTTAATATTCTTAAAAAAAAAAAAACACAGGGGACTCCAGAATTACTGCAAATTCTAAAAAAAAATACCAAGGACTTCAGGATTTTTTCAGATTTCTTAAAAAATGAAACATCAAGAGCACATAAGATTCTTTACAATGTTTTCAAAAACTAAACTCGCAGCCTAAAAATTCATCTAAGTTCTAAAAAAACACTAGGAACCTCTCGCGACCTCAAATACTCTTAGATTAAAAAAAAATCCTGAGGACTCGAAAATTCTTTTAAATTCCAAAAAAAGGACATTTGGGTCCTCAAGGATTTTTCAACTTTCTTCAAAAATGAAACATCAAAAGCCCTCAAGATCCTTTTAATTTATTTCAAAATAAAACTTTCACCGCCTAAAAATTCTTTTAAATTCTTAAAAAAAAAACACTTGTGACCTTAAGATTCTTTCCAATTTCTTCAAAAATTCAAAAATTAAACATCAAAGGTCCTAAAGATTCTTTTATATTCTTTGAAAAAGAAAACATCGCCAAAACAGGATTTTTTAAGATTCTCGAAAAAAAAACGGAGAATCTAAGATGATTTTAAATTCTATTTTAGATTAAAAGAAAAGACACTGGGGAGCCCAAAATTATTTTAAATTCTTAAAAAAAAAACATTATAGTCCTCAAAATGCTTTTATATTCTTAAAAAACACAGGGGACTCCAGAATTATTGCAAATTCTAAAAAAAATACTAAGGACTTCAGGATTTTTTCAGATTTCTTAAAAAATTAAACATCAAGAACCCATGGATTCTTTACAATTCTGTCAAAAACAAAACCCTCGCAGCCTAGAAATCCTTTTAAGTTCTAAAAAAACACTAGGAACCTCCCGCGACCTCAAATTCTCTTATATTAAAAAAAAATCCTGAGGACTCGAAAATTCTTTTAAATTCCAAAAAAGGACATTAGGGTCCTCAAGAATTTTTCAACTTTCTTCAAAAATGAAACATCAAAAGCCCTCAAGATTCTTTTAAATTATTTCAAAATAAAATATTCGCAGAAAATCCTTTCAAATTCTTAAAAAAAAGCACTAGGGACCTCAAGGTTCTTTCAATTTCTTCAAAAATTCAAAAATTAAACATCAAAGGCCCTCAAGATTCTTTTATATTCTTTCAAAAAGAAAACATCGCCGGATCAGGATTTTTTAAGATTCTCTAAAAAAAAACGGGGACTCTAAGATTATTTTAAAGTCTATTTTAGAAAAAAAAAGACACTGGGGAGCCCAAAATTATTTTAAATTCTTAAAAAAAAAACATTATAGTCCTCAAAATTCTTCTATATTCTTAAAAAAACACTGGGCGCTCCAGGATTATTGCAAATTTAAAAAAAAATACTAAGGGCTTCAGGATTTTTTCAGATTTCTTAAAAAATGAAACATCAAGAGCCCATAACAATTTTTACAATTCTGTCAAAAACAAAATCCTCGCAGCCTAAAAATTCTTTTAAGTTCTAAAAAAACACTAGGAATCTCCCGCGACCTCAAATTCTCTTAGATTAAAAAAAAATTCTGAGGACTCGAAAATTCTTTTAAATTCCAAAAAAGGACATTAGGGTCCTCAAGTATTTTTCAACTTTCTTCAAAAATGAAACATCAAAAGCCCTCAAGATTATTTTAAATTATTTCAAAATGAAACATTCGCAACCTAAAAATTCTTTTACATTCTTAAACAGAAACACTGGGGACCTCAAGATTCTTTCCAATTTTTTCAAAAATTCAAAAATTAAACATCAAAGGCCCTCAAGATTGATTCTTTTATATTCTTTCAAAAAGAAAACATCGCCGGATCAGGATTTTTTGAGATTCTCGAAAAAAAAAACGGGGACTCTAAGATTATTTTAAAGTCTATTTAATATAAAAAAAGACACTGGGGGGCCCAAAATTCTTTTAAATTCTTAAAAAAAAACATTATTATCCTCAAGATTCTTTTATATTCTTAAAAAAAAAACATTGGGGACTCCAGGATTATTGTAAATTCTAAAAAAAAATACTAAGGACTTCAGGATTTTTTCAGATTTCTTAAAAAATGAAACATCAAGAGCCCATAAGATTCTTTACAATTCTGTCAAAAACAAAATCCTCGCAGCCTAAAAATTCTTTTAAGTTCCAAAAAAACACTAGGAACCTCCCTCGACCTCAAATTCTCTTAGATTAAAAAAAATCCTGAGGACTCGAAAATTCTTTTAAATTCCAAAAAAGGACATCAGGGTCCTCAAGAATTTTTCAACTTTCTTCAAAAATGAAACATCAAAAGCCCTCAAGATTCTTTTAAATTATATCAAAATAAAACATTCGCAGCCTAAACATTCTTTTAAATTCTTAAAAAAAAAAACACTAGGGACCTCAAGATTCTTACCAGTTTCGTCAAAAATTCAAAAATTATACATCAAAGGCCCTAAAGATTCTTTTATATTCTTTCAAAAAGAAAACATCGCCGGCTCAGGATTCTTTCAGAATCCCAAAAAAAAAAAAACGGGAACTCTAAGATTATTTTAAAGTCTATTTTAGATTAAAAAAAAGACACTGGGGAGAACAAAATTCTTTTAAATTAAAAAAAAATACATTATAGTTCTCAAGATTTTTTTATATTTAAAAAAAAAACACTGCGGACTCCAGAATTATTGCAAATTCTAAAAAAAATACTAACGACTTCAGGATTTTTTCAGATTTCTGAAAAAATGAAACACCAAGAGCCCATAAGATTCTTTACAATTTTTTCAAAAACAACCCTCGCAGCCTAAAAATTATTTTAAGTTCTAAAAAAAAACACTAGGGACCTCCCGCGACCTCAAATTCTCTTAGATTAAAAAAAAATCCTGAGGACTCGAAAATTTTTTTAAATTCCAAAAAAGGACATCAGGGTCCTCAAGAATTTTTCAACTTTTTTCAAAAATTAAACATCAAAAGCCCTCAAGATTCTTTTAAATTATTTCAAAATAAAACATTCGCAGCCTAAAAACTGTTTTAAATTCTTAAAAAAAAAAACACTAGGGACCTCAAGATTCTTTCCAATTTATTCAAAAATTCAAAAATTAAACATCAAGAATCTTTTATATTATATCAAAAAGAAAACATCGTTGGCTCAGGATTGTTTCAGATTCTCAAAAAAAAAAAACACGGAAACTCTAAGATTATTTTAAAGTCTATTTTAGAATAAGAAAAAGACACTGGGAAGCCCAAAATTCTTTTAAATTCTAAAAAAAACATTATAGTCCTGAAGATTCTTTTAATTTCTTTAAAAATCAAAACATCCCCGACCTCAAGATTCTTTTATATTCTTAAAAAAAAAAAACACTGGGGACTCCAGGACTATTGTAAATTCTAAAAAAATACTAAGTACTTCAGGATTTTTTCAGATTTAAAAAAAAATGAAACATCAAGAGCCCATAAGATTTTTTACACATCTTAGATTAAAAAAAAATCCTGAGGACTCGAAAATTCTTTTAAATTCCAAAAATGGACATTAGGGTCCTCAAGAATTTTTCAACTTACTTCAAAAATGAAACATCAAAAGCCCTCAAGATTCTTTTAAATTATTTTAAATAAAACTTTCGCAGCCTAAAAATTTTTTTAAATTCTTATAAAAAACACTAGGGACCTCAAGATTCTTTTATATTCTTTCAAAAAAAAAAACATCGCTGGCTCAGGATTTTTTAAGTTTCTCAAAAAAAAAACGGGGACTCTAAGATTATTTTAAAGTCTATTTTAGATAAAAAAAAAGACACTGGGAAGCCCAAAATTCTTTTAAACTCTTAAAAAAATTATTTCAAATTTTTTCAAAAACAAACACCAATCTCTTTAAAAAAAAAAACTAAATACCCCAAGATACTTTAACCTAAATTGTTTTGCACTTACCGACTCAATAGTGACAAACGTTGTACAGGGTGGATTAAAATTAAATTGTCGCACTCCATGACCAACTAACTTAAATGAATAAAAGTAGTACAATAGTAGCAGCGTCCCTCCACACCAATTAGAAACCATCGTAGCCTCTAAAACTCAATTTTCACCCCAATCCAGGAATAATTAAGGATTATTAATACCCACCTTTCGCAAAACCCTTCAATCTACACCAAATTTTGAAAACAAAAAAACAGACACATGCTGACCCCAAGCAACAACTCCAAATGAACACAGCTTTATCGAAATTGTAAAAGCCCTTTCGTACGAGCCCAAGTCCGAGTGTTACCCTACAAAGAATTTATTTTTTTCTTTAATTTTGTGTGTACTTTTTACCTTCCAGTTTTAACGTAGTCTTGGGCTACCGTCTGAAAAAACAACCCTGTTAACACAATCAGGTACACATTGTAGAGATTTTTGGTTCGGGGATGTTCGAAAATTTCATCCAGTAAGGAATTTCTGCAAGAGAACGTTTTCTCTCGAGTTTCTTTTTCCGAACACATTTCGATCTTGGTAGTTGATCGAATACGAGTGGATGAAATTGCGGTGCGTTGTGTTTGCTAAAAAAGTAAAACTATTTTCACCTTGAAGTGTGTACATCCCACGATGGAAAATTTATAAAGTCAAAAGTCACACTTTTGTTCTTTAGTTAAAATTTTTAATACCAAAAAAATGTTTACGACATGTTACTACACTAAAATTATGCAAGATGAACAAAACAGTAATTAATTATTTAAATATAATTGTGCAATATTGAAACGTCGGGAATCACTACGATTAAACTAATCCGTTGAAAAAAAATCAGCCTTGATTAAGCTTGTATTAATGGAAACAGGTATCACTAGTTCTAGACAGTCCGAAGCAACAACCAAACCTGACACGTTACAATGAACTCGAGTAACAAAAAACACAAAACGTAAGTAAAAAATAAAATTCAAGTGTTTGCGTATTTTTTAAATTTATTTTTAAATTCCGTAGCAAGAGCTTTCAATTAAGAAATTCTCTATTAACGGATATTTTTGAAGATGTTCGAACCCGGAATGTCTACAATGTCTACATTATCATCTTCATTACGCTTTTTATTCAAACTGCAGCGAAGGAATACGCCAATACACAAAGGTGAATGAAAATTTATACAAAAATAAACGAAATTATTTTCCGTTTTAGGGTAACTTTCGGACTTGAGGTGATGAAAACGGGTTTTACTAGACTGGATAAGGCGTTATTGATTTGGCTTTGTTGTTTTGTATCAGCGTGTGTGTCGTATTTTGTTTTCAAAGTTTGGGCTCTAGTCAGAAGCTTAGTCAGGGGTGAGTTGGTGAACATTTGTGAATAGTACTAATATGAGTATCTTCAGAGACTCTAATTGTTGATTGGTTGGGAGGAACAACTTTGGTTTTTTACTATTTCTACAGTTTCAAATTCGTTCACAACGCCGTATTTTATTTTCGTTTTTATCCAGCCTGTATAATGTTCGTGAACATGGAAGCGGTAAGTGTCAATTTTTTCTCATTTTTTAGCGGTAGTGAAATTTTATATGTAGATTTTGTAAAGTTGGAACCCCAAAATTTCGCTAGGCAAATCTCGTACACATTAAAGGCTCTCAAAATTTTTTGAAATTTGAAAAGTTCACATAAAATTTGAAATCTTAAAAAATACAACATACAAAGTTCTTCAAAAACTAAACAGTGAAGTTCCCAAAAGTTTTTCAGTTTTTTTTAAAACAAAACACCAAGAGCTTTCAAGATTCTTTTAAAACCTTTCAAAAACAAAAAAACCCGTCACCTCAAGTTTATTGTATATTCTTAAAAAAAAGACACTGGGGACCCCAAGATTTTTTTAAATTCGAAAAAAAACACCAAGGACACCAAGGTTTTTTCAACTTTTTTCATCTAGTGAGTGGGGGCCCAAAGATTCTTTTAACTTCTGAAAAAACACTATACGGTTCTGAAGATTCTTTCAAATTTTTTCAAACATGAAACTTCACGATTTCCCAAGATTCTTTTGAATTCTTTCAAAAACAAACACCCATCTCCTCAAAATTATCTTAGATGCTTAAAAAAAGATCGTGAGGGCTCGAAAATTTTTTTAAATTCCAAAAAGGACTCTAGGGTCCTCAAATATCTTTCAACTTTCGTCAAAAATGAAATTTTTTCGAAAACACAACACTTGCATTCTCAAAATTTTTTAATTCTTAAAAAGATGCTAAGAACTCCAAAATTCTTTCAAATTTTTTCGAAAATGAAACATCAAGGGACCCCAAGATTATTTTAAATTATTTCAAAAACAAAACAGCCGCGGCCTCAAAATTCTCTTAGATTCTTAAAAAAATTCTAGGGACTCGAAGATTCTTTTAATTTCTTAAAAAGGACATTAAGATTCTTTCGATTTTTTTCAAAAATGAAACATCACAGGCTCCCAAAATTCTTTCCGATTTTTAAAATAAGAGCCTAGGGACTCAAATATTCTTTTAAATTCCAAGAAAAAAACCACTAGGGTCCTCAAGATTCTTTCCACTTTCTTCAAAAATGAACCATCCAGGATTTCCAAGACTAAAAAAAAAACACTCGCGCTCACAGAATTTTTTAGAATCTTAAAAAAGGCACTGAAGACTTCAAAATTCTTTGAAATTGTAAAGAAAACACTAGATTTTTTAAAATTTCTTAAAAAATTCAAAAATTAAACATCAAGACCCCTCAAAATTCTCTAGGGACTCGAAAATTCTTTTAACTTCCAAAAAGGGTCCTCAAGATCTTTTCAACTTTCTTCAAAAATGAAATATCAATAATCTTCAAGATTCTTTTAAATTCGTTCAAAAAGAAAAAACCCGCGGCCTCAAAACTCTTTTAAATACTTAAAATAAGACCCTCGGGAGTCAAAAATTCTTTTAAATTTAAAACAGATTCTTTCAACTTTCTCCAAAAAGGAAGCATCAAGGGCCTTCAAGATTCTCTTTCAGTTTCTTTCATAAAACGCCCGCGATCTCAAGATACTTTTAGAATCTTAAAAAAAGATGCTGGGAATTTTTTTTAAATCTAAAAAAAAGAACTCTAGGTACCTCAAGATTCTTTCAACATTTTTCAACAATGAAAGATTCTTTTCAATTTTTTTAAAAGCAAAACACTCCCAGCCTAAAAATTCTTTTAGATTCTAAAAAAACAAACACTAGGGACCTTAAGATTCTTTCAAATTTCTTTAAAAATTCAAAAATTAAACTTCAAGAGCACTCAAAATTCTTTTCAATTTTTTCAAAAACAAAACACCTCTGGCCTCAAAATTTTCTTAGAATAAAAAAAAATCCTGGAGAGTCGAAAATTCTTCTAAGTTCCAAAGAAGGATACTAGGGTCCTCAAGATTTTTTTCAATTTTCTTCAAAAATGAAACATAAAAGTCCTCAAGATTCTTTTAATTCTTTCAAAAACAAAAGACCTGTGGCCTCAGAATTTTTTTAAATTCTTAAAATACCCCGGGGACTCGAAGATTTTCTTAAATTAAAAAAAAAGACTAGAAATTTGAAGATTCTTTCAATGTTCTCCAAAAAAGAAGCATCAAGGACCCTCAAAGTTCTTGCATAAAACGTCCGCAATCTGAATATTCTTTTCGAATCTTAAAGCAAGATAATGGAAATTTTTTTAAAATCTAAAAAAAAAACGCTAGAGACCACAAGATTTTTTCAACTTTTCTCAAAAATTAAACAATGAGCCTCCAAAATTCTTTTAAATAGGTTAAAAAACAAAACACTTGCAGCTTTAAAATTCTTCTACATTCTTAAAAAGAATCTGTAGATTCCAAGATGCTTTCAGATTCTACACAAAATACTTGGAATCTCAAAATTCTTCTAAATTCTTTTAAAAACAAAACACCCACGCCCTCAAGATTCTTTTAGATTTTTAAAAATAGACATTGAAAACTCTAAGATTTTTTTATTAAAAAAACTAGGGACCCCAAAATTCTTTTATTTTGTAAAAAAACCACGAGCTACCTCAAGATTTTTTTAGATTCTTAAAAAGTACACTGAGAACTCTAGGATTCTTCTAAATAAAGTTTTATTAATCTCTTTCAAAAAAAAAGACTAAATACCTCAAGATTCTCTGAATTTTTCTCAAAACAAAACACTAAATGTTCCCAAGTGCTCTTTTTGTTTTTGAAAAAACAAACATCATGGGAGCCAATATTCTTTTAAATTCTTAAAAAAATAAAAGGACTTCAAAATTTTTTCAACTTTTTTCAAAAACGAAACACCAAGGCCCCGAAGATTCTTTCACCCTCATTCGAAAACAAAACACAAGCGCCCTCAAGATTATTTCAAATTTTTTCAAAAACAAACACCAAGTTTTATTAACCTCTTTCAAAAAACTAAATACCCCAAGATTCTTAAAATTCTTAAAATAAGACTCTGGGGACTCGAAGATTCTTTTACATTCTTGAAAGACACTGTGGACCCCAAGATTCTAAAGAAAAACACTAGGAACCTCAAGATTCTTTTAAATCCTTTAAAAAACTAAACACGCGAGGTTTCAGCATTTTCTTAATTCTTAAAAAAATATATCGGGACCTCAAAATTCGTTTAAATTTGTGTCAAAAACACACATGCAGCCTCAAGATTCTTTTAAATTCCAAAAACAGACCTTATGATTCTAAAGATTCTTTCAACTTTCTTCAAAAATGAAACACCAAATTCTTTTCGATTCTTAAAATAAGACCCTGAGGACTCGAAGACGCTTTTTGAATTCCAAGAAAGAACTACTAGGGTCCTCAAAATTCTTTCTACTTTCTTCAAAAATGAAACATCTAAGCCCCTCAAGATCTTTTCAATTTCTTTCAGAAGCAAAACGTCCCTGGTCACAGATTTCATTTAGAATCTTGAAAAGAAGGCATTGGGGACTCCAAGATAACTTCAATTTTTTTTCAAAAACAACACCCCCGGTTACAGGTTTTTTTTAGAATAAAAAAAAAGGCATTCCAAGATTTTTTCAAATTCTTAAAAGACACTGTGAATTCCAATATTCTAAAAAAAGAACACTAGAAACTTCAAGATTCTTTTAAATTCTTTAAAAAACAAAACACCCACGTGCTCCAAATTTTTTTAAATTCTTAAAAATAGACACTCAATACTCCAATATTCTTTTAAATTCGAAAGAAAAAACTAGGGATCCCAAAATTATTTCAAGAAAACATCGGTTCTCTCAAGATTCTTTTAGATATTGGGACTCTGATTTTATTTTAAAGTCTAAAAAACGCTAGAAATCTGAAAATTCTTTCAACTTTCTTCAAAAATTAAAATTACCGCCTTCCAAGATTTTTTTAAAAACAATACACCCGCGGCCTCAAATTTTTTTAGGTTCTTAGAAACGAACGCTGGGATCTCTAGGATTCTTCTAGATTCTAAGGATCTCAGAATTCTTTCAAATTTCTTTAAAAATGAAGCAGCCCTCAAGACTCTTTATTATAATTCTTTCAAAAACAAAACGATCATAGTTAGCTTAAAATTGTTTTAAATTCTAAAAAAAAAACACCAAGGACCTCAAGATTTTTCAAACATTAATAGGCCTCAAGATTCTTCCAAATTTTTAAAAAAATTAAACATCAAGAGCCCTCAAGATTCATTTAAATTCTTTTAAAAACAAAACACCCCCGACCTCAAAAATCTCTTAGATTAAAAAAAAATACTGAGGACTCAAGAATTCATTTAATTTCCAAAAAAGTACACTAAGGTCCTTAAGATTTTGTCAACTTTCTTCAAAAATGAAACATCAATAGCCCTCAAGACTCTTTTAAATTCTTTCATAAACAAAACACCCCCGGCTTCAAAATTCTTTTAAATTCTTAAAAAAGGGCCTGGGGACTCGAAGATTCTCTTCAATTAAAAAAAAAACATTAGGTTCCTCAAGATTCTTTCAAATTTCTCCAAAAAAGAAGCAAGATTCTTTCAAATTCTTTCACAAATCGCCCGCAATGTGAATATTAATATTCTTTTACAATCTTAAAAAAAGATACTGAGAATTTTTTTAAAATCTAAAAGACGAACTCTGGGTACCTCAAAATTCTTTCAACATATTTCAAAATTGAAAAATAATGGGCCCCCAAGATTATTTTCAATTTTTTCAAAAACAAAACACTCCCAGCATAAAAATTCTTTTCAATTAAAAAAAAAACAACACGAGGGACCTCAAGATTCTTTCAAATTTTTTCAAAAATTCAAAAAGTAAACATCAAAACCTCTCAAAATTCTTTTGAATTCTTTCAAAAACAAAACACCCGCAGCCTCAAAATTCTGTTAGATTAAAAAAGGACCTGGTGACTCGAAATTTCTTTTAAATTCCATAAAAGGACACTAGGGTCCTCAAGATTTGTTTAAATTCTTTCAAAAATAAAACACCCGTGGCCTCAAAATACTTTTAAATTCTTAAAAAACTGAACACTAGGGACCTCAAGATTCTTTCAACATTTTTCAAAAATTGAAGACATAATGGGCCCTCAAGATTCTTTTC